TTTCAGACGGCACTTTTAACAAAATTTAAGTTACAAACTGTAATTGCTACAAGCCCAAATATGTATGTATACTTAGTTACGTTGAACACATGCTTATTCGCATATCAAAATTACTGTGACTATTTTTATACTTTTATTATTCAATAAAAGCATATCACACCACTAAAAGAGAACACTTACACTTTTTTAACTTTTCAAACGTATGTACTGAATTTTACCTCTGCAACTTTTGTATTATCACTAATTATGCAAATGTATTTTTTTGTTTTTTCCAAGACAACTTTTAATTCAAACGCCATCAGATGAATCCATAAACAATAATTTTAATAACATTTTTTTATTTAAAGTGTATGTGACAAGATGTATTAAATTAATTATTTTTGTATACAATGTTTGAATATTATGTGGGTAAACTTATTATGTCTCCTTATCTCGCATACTATTCGTATCTAATCTTTAACTTTTTTTCCATTTTCATTGTTTTCTAATGAGCTACTGAACTTTATTTTATAAATTCACACTGTCAATGGAAAATTTTTTCACTATAACGGTAACAAAGGAGTTTCAGTCATTTTTACGACTTGTTTTTCATTTGGTCCTTTTTATTTTTCTTTCTTAGTACTGCCATATGTGCTACATGTGGAACTCTTCTTCGTTTATCAAAATCTTACTTTCAATAAAAAAGCTTCATCCGACTCAGGCTCCGTTAGGCTCTGTTTAAATAATGATATTTCAGTTAGCTCTTGAATTGGTACCTACCCCCACCTCTACTTCACTAATTCAGCGTATATTATTCACCATTTGGTTAATCAGCAGATTCAAACAAATTTTGAAGCATTTTGTTACAGTTTTTGGAGATTTAGGCCGCCACCACGTGCTCGAATTAGCTAATTAACGGTCATTTGAGTAGAGGTGGATGGTATGCTTTGCAAAATTATATATTGATTAGTTAAAAACAATTTTAAAAAACTAAACCACCGATGAGATGAATCACATGTTATAAGTCAGTGTGTTCCATCTTGGACCACGTGTTTTTGAACAATTTTTACAAGCTACTAAGCGACCGATGTATTATTAGTGCACTTGTTAGTAGACTAAATCATAATATGATATATTATATTTTTACTTATAGATATTTTGAGTATTACTAAAATATCCCTACAAAATACGATAATATTTAAAAATCATAGTGTAATAAATCGTGTACACGATTATACTTTTACAATTTTAGAAAAATATAGTGTATAACTACGCATTAATACTGATCTACTCAGAAGTGGACAGTTTTCAATATTTTAATACCTGAAAAATGTATTTTAAATACAATTTCGTAATCATTTTTTTACTATGTTGTATTACTCTTCTGTATTCGATAAAAACTACTTCGAAGAAAACTTTAACGCATATATT